TTGTAAATATATAAGCTACCTTATAGCTTATTTGATTAATTTAGAAGATTTCTGTATTCAAATAAGTTTGGTTTGATAGCACAAGTTTTTTTAAAAAGCTCGAGCTTATCACATAGGCTTCATTGGTTAGAATTTTAAATAAGTATGAAATTTTTCTTTCAGCTAGCTTATTAGCTAATTTTATCAAATATTTTTATCATATAAGCTAGTTTTTCAGCCATAAATCATAAGATATCAGCTATAAGTTCAAGAGCTATAAGGTAGCTTATCCGTTATAAGATAGCTAATCTACCAAATTTACCAAACATAGCCAAATATGCTTGCTAAATTAATAGAGCCGTGTATTACACATGTGCTTGTTAAAAAGATTATTCTTAAATTTTAAAATTAATTAAAAAAAATGTTTTAAAATTTAAATATTTTTTTCTGAAAAAAATATTATCATTTATTTTGGAATGATACTCATATTACTTATATGACTTACATGTGTTATATTATATTATTTAGTATATATTTATTTATTTATTTCATCAATGAAGTATTAATGGAGTTTTATTAGTATAGTTTCAGAACTGTAAGATAAATTTTATCAAGAATCCAAAAGATAGAAAAATTATCAATTTATATGACTTAGTTTATATCAATTTTAGATTTGAAAGATGGGACAACTTTCAATATTGGGCTTGAAAGATAGAATCTATCAAATCAGGACCCCAAAGTAATAAAATTATCAGTTGAATATATTGTAATGATCGTTTGTATTTTTTATATATAATATTGAGAAGGTTTTGAAATTTCTTATACTACATAATTTAAGAACACTCCAAAATAATAAATATTTAAAAAATAAAAATTGCAATACAAAATGACACTTACTACTAAATGGATGGAGTACAATTGCATGGAATTTAATTGCACATTTTATTTCATTAGAAATTAAAAATGACTTACAATAGAAAAAAAATATATAAAAAAAATACGGAAAACATCTCCTATATATAAATTCAGAATGTACTGAGTCTAACTGGCAGGCTTGCACACTTTAGAATCCTACATGTCACCATATAATGGTTTGTATTTAGGTTCGGACAAAAAATTTGAAAATAAAATTGACTTGTAAAGTGCCATAATAATTTTTTCACGATACATTATTGCCTCCCATCAATTTCTTCTTCATTAACAGTTTTTTTTTTTTTTTAATGTATTTAAAGATCACACAAATCTTTCTATTCTTATTTTATTTTTCCATTTTAAAGATCAGGTGAATTTAATAATTGTGTTAACAATTGATCTTTTATTTGACAGTGCATCAGTGCGGAGTTAACAATGTTTCTTTTACTTGATAATTGAGTTAATAATATTTTATTTGATAATTAATCTTTTTATATTCTTTTATTTGATAATTGAGTTAACTAACATCATATCCACATTAATTATTTTATATTATTTTATTTGATAATTGAGTTAACAATGCTCCAAATTTTTGGTAAATATATGGTAACAAAATTTTTCACACTTCAAAATATTCAATTGAATTTGTAATAGGATTCTAACGTCATATTATAATGGATTTCTTCCATTTATTTATTGTGTATATACTACAATACTAAATTCTTTTATTTTATTTTTTTCTTGTTTAAATTATTTTTTTATGCACCCGTGCAATACACGAGTGTCGTACTAGTGACTTGTTTAATCAACTTATCATAAAAGATAGAAGATAGGAAAATATGGTTGTTTTGTTACAGGAATCCTTCAATCCCACTTTTGTACAAACCAAATTTAGTTTATATATGCAATCAAATCAAATCACAACAAATATGGGATTGATTGGCAACAAATTAAGGGATTCAGTAAATATATAGTTAACACTATATAAATTGAGTTTCATAGACCAATGTACCAAGAAGACACAGGACATAAAAAAAAAAGGCTAAAACTCGATCAAATTGTTCCTCCTAATAAAATGACTTTGACTTATGTTTTGCTACTAACCTTGCTTTTATATGCTAACTACTTGCAAGTGCACTCCTGTTTTTTGCCCTGGTTAAAACACCATGTTTATGTTTATAACAATCTCTCCCCGAACAAAGAGCGATTACGAGTGCACTGTGCATCCAAAGACGATGACCTTGGATTTCACAATTTAACACCAAATCAAAATTTCCATTTCACGTTTTGTGACAACCGTTTTACTACGTTGTTCTTTTGTCACCTTTGGTGGGGTAAGAAGAACAAAAGTTTCGAGGTTTTCAACACCGACTGGAAGAAGCCCGCAACCCATAATGCGGCTTATGTCGCGAAAAATGACGGCATTTATTTGTCGTCCAATGTACCTCCACAGAAGCTCGAGAAGAAGTTTGACTGGGAATTGGAAAAATGATGGCATATTTGTATAACTTGATGTAGGAGTTCACTATTTTGAATAAATATAAGTTGATTATCAAATAACTTGATTATGGCCATCGATTTTGAAAGTTGATTCGAATATATTTTTCAATATTATATAGCATATGTAAAAGTATCTAAAATATTTTATATTATTTTTGAAAAAACAAGTAAAATATTATATGACATATATAACAGTATCTAAATTATTCTATATTATTCATGTAAAATGTGAAATCATCTATAATTTTTATAAACTTTTCTGTAAAGAAAAAATGTCTAAAACACTTAAATTTAACATATATATGTATATATATATAAAGATGAATTTTATGAGAGAATATAGATATAAAAATTTTTAGACACCAAAATTATCACAAAGAAGTTGTGAGTACAAAATATTTTCAAAATAAGTGCAGGCCGATTTATTCCTAATAAATAGTTGGATACAGAATTATCCTAAAAGAAAGATGTGAGTACAAAATATTTTTAAACTTAGTATGTATAATAAATATTTAGATACAATTGTCATAAACAAAAAAATGTGACTACATACTATTTTGAAAATTAGTTTTAAATCAATATTTAAATACCGGACTTATCATACAAACAAGATGTGAGTACAAAACATTTTGAAAATTAGTTTTGGATTCGTGCATCAAATTGAACACTGAATTTAATGTTGCATCTTTTATTACTATTTATAGTATATATTTAATATTTTTTGCGGGAATTACTTTCTAAACGTGGTAAATCAATTTTTTTTAAAAAAAAAGGTTGTTAGCATAAGGAAATAACTGTATACGACGAGATTTCTACATCAAATTGAATACTACATTTAATGTTGCATCTTTTATTACTATTTATAGTATATATTTAATATTTTTGGCGTGAATTGTTTTCTAAAGTAAATATATAATCTCTTTATTTATATATATATATATATATATTAAATAATACAAACCAATCATTCTTGCACATCACTCAACTTTAATTCACTATTCATATACTAACATAATTTTAACTACCTATCATTTCCAATCATTTATCTCATACTTTTACATCATATCAATTTTAATCATTTTATTTTAAATATTATTTTAATACATTCTTAAAATTTCATTAACAACTGACCACACTACTTGTTTTTTTAGAATTAACTCTAGTTAACTAAAATAACTAACTTTGAATGAACTATTTCATAAACAAGCACGCCCTAAATAATATCAAGGATCCGAAGGATAGAAAAACTATCAATTTATGACTTTAGTTGATATCTTTTGTGATTCATAAGATGAGTCAACTTTCAGTTTGGGGCTTGAATGATAAATTCTATCAAATCGGGACCAGAAAGCAATAAAATTATCAATTGAATATTGTAAATGTCGTTTATATTTTTTATATATAATGAGAAGGTTTTGAAATTTCTTATACTACATAATTTAAGAACAGACCAAAATACTAAATATTTAAAAAATAAAAAGTGCAATACAAAATGACACTTTTATGGCATGATTAGTATGATGGAATGAAATTTCGTAGGAATGGAATGAATTGCAGAATGGAATGATTATGTGAATGGAATGAAACATGTTTTGTCATTGATGCGTTTGGTATGCAGAAGGAATAGGACTGGAATGAAATGACATTATCAATTTTTATTATAAAAATAAATAAAATATTTTTTAAAAAATTAATATACTTTTAATAAATTATATATAAATGATTTCTCAATAATATATAAAAATCAAATAATAAATTTTTAAACTATATATTAAAAATAATATATAAAAAATAATATATTTTTAATAATATATAAAAATAAAATAATATATTTTTAAATTATATATAAATGTTTTTTTTAGTTTTATTTTTATATAAGTATTTAATATATCTAATTAAAAAATAAATAAAAGTAAGTTTTCAATTTTTTTATTTGAATTTTTTAAAAATAATTTATTTAATATATTTTAATCATGATTTATAATATCTATTATATATTTATTTATTATTATTATTTGTTAAAATTGAAAAATTGATTCCTACACATATGAGAATGAGAAAACCTTCCATTTACTATGAAATGACTAATCACATGGAAATGGGTTTTGCCATTCCCACTGGAATGGTCATTCCTTCACAAAAAATAAATCAATCATGAGATAAGTAATGAGTAAGGGAATGATCATTCCATTCCATGTCATTCCTTCCTACCAATCATGCCTTAGTAATAAATGGATGGAGTACAATTGCACATTTTATTTCAGTAGAAATAAAAAAAAGGACTTACAATTGACAATAAATATACGAATAAGGAAAACATGACTTGTTATAACTTATAATCAAAAGAAAAAGTGGGAAAAATTGTTTTTTTAGTTACAAGAATCCCTCAATCCCACTTTCGTACAAACCAAATTTGGTTTATATATGCAATCAAATCAAATCAAATCACAACAGATATGGGATTGATTGGCAACAAATAAGGGATTCAGTAAAGATAGTTAACACTATATAAATTGAGTTTCATAGACCGATGTAGCACGACATAGGACATTNAAAAAAAAAAAAAATTTAATCCCAAATCAACTTTTTTTTTTCTTTCTCCTAATAAAATGACTTTGAATTATGTTTTGCTACTATCTTTGCTTTTATATGCCAACCATTTGCAAGTGCATTCTTGTTTTTTGCCCACATTAAGATACCATGTTTATGTTTACAACAATCTCTCCCCGAACAAAGAGCAATTACGAGTGCACTGTGCATCCCAAGACGATGACCTTGGATTTCACAATTTAACATCAAATCAAAATTTTCATTTCACATTTTGTGATAACCGTTTTACTACGTTGTTCTTTTGTCACCTTTGGTGGGTAAGAAGAACAAAAGTTTCGAGGTTTTCAACACCGAATGGAAGAAACCCCCTACCCATCACTCGGCTTATGTCGCGAAAAATGACGGTATTTATTTGTCGTACAATGTACCTCCACAGAAGCTCGAGAAGAAGTTCGACTGGGAATTGAAAAAATGATTGAATATTTGTATCTATTAATTATTGAATTATTTTGAAATGTTTATTGTTTTTTTCATGAATAAATGAATATGAATGTGGATATAGTTTTTATTCCTTACCCTAAGTCCCTTTTTGTTATGTTCCCATGAATCGTGATCACTTATTTTTATCTTAATTTCTTATGATGGAGATCAAAATATTATGACGAGTATAAATAAAGAAGTGAATCAAATTTGTATAAATTACTCATTTCACTCTTGCTATAGGAGTTCACTATTTTGAATAAATATAAGTTGATTATCAAATAACTTGATTATTGCCATGGATTTCGAAAGTTGATTCGAATATAAATTTTCTTTATTTATGCACGGTATTGAATAAATGACTGTAATTAAGTTTGAATTAATAATTATTGTGACAAAATGACGTAATTTACAATATTGATTAGCAAAATTGTGTTGGGAGATTCACAATTATTGTGAAATCAGATTTAGAGAAATTTCTTTAATTAGCTATGGTACTCTTACTCTTAATTTTCACCATAATATAATCTGCAATAGTAGGAATAAATCATATTTCATATTTCAATGTATTATATATTTATATGTTTAAGGCTGATCGGACAAGATAACGAGAATATAAAGACGCTTGTTAAATTAATAGAGCCTTGTATTACATGTGCTTGCTACAAATATTATTTTAAATTTTAAAATTAATAAGAAAAATGTTTTAATATTTATATACATTGTTTTTACAAAAATAATTTCATTATTTTACTACTCATTACTTATACGATTTACCTATATTATGTTATAATAATTTTTCTAACGTATACCGTATAACTGCTTTAAATATAAATATAATAATTAATAAGTAATTTTACTTTTTTATTTATATTAATAAATAATAATTGTTATTATCAAGATAAATATAATTTATTTATTTTATACATAAAATATGAATGTCAAATCCAAAATCATAAATTACTAGTATTCGACCTGTGCAAATACACAGATATAAATAAAGTATTGTGAGTTATTTGTATGCATATAATGATTAATGATTTTTCTTGCACTTTTTTGCAGGCCAAATTTACAATTAAAGGAGTTGGAATATTTATTTTTTTAAATTGTGTTTATCATATTGGATGTAATGTATATTTTGGTATGTATTTTTTTGTGAATTATTTATTTATTATTTAGGAATTTCAAATACGTTTTTTATTTTTCAAAAGAAATTATTTTAAATGTAACCACAACAATGACATCTAATCACGTTATGGTCAGCTGTAAATAAATTAAAAGTATAAAATAATTTTTGTAATTTTAAAATGATTAGAGTGTTGATTATCTAATAATTAAATGAGAGGTTAAATGAATAAAAAGTAACGGTTATTGGAAGAAAAATATTATATTTTCACATAGGTATAATTTAATAGGTTTTATTAAATGCTCATGAGCTAATAATTTAATAGGTATAATTTAATAGGTTAAATGAATATGTGTGTGTGTGTGTGTGTTCACTTGATCATTGTCATGGATCCGGAAAGTTAGTTTAAAATTATAATTTTCTTTATTTATGCACTGCATATTGAATAGATGACTGTAATTAAGTTTGATGAATTATTGTGACAAAATGACGTAATTTAAAATATTAATTAGCAAAATTGTGTTGAGAGATTCACAATTATTGTGAAATCAGATTTAGAGAAATTTCTTTAATTAGCTATGGTCAAACTCTTTGCACCATAATATAATTGCAATAGTAGAAATCATATTTCATATTTTAGTTTATTATATACTAGTACAATACCCATGTAATACATGTGTATTCATCAAATAGATACACATGTGGAAATGCATTAGTGCGATAAATAAGAATAAATTCATTTCATCATCGTACAAGGAAATTGAAATACAAACAATTATGTACACTTTGCCTATTGAATATACATGGATAGATAGCTAAATTTACACAGATAGATAACTAAATTTAAACCGAACTGAATATAGAGAAGAGAGTGGTTTATAAATTTACATGGAGAGATAATTAAATTTAAATCAAATTGAATATAGAGAAGACAGAGAAAAGAATGAAAATCATGGTGGAGAGAGTCTTTAATATATATACTCTCTCCTATTCATAATAAGTGTCGGTTTGGGAAGTTACACACTAATTAAGAATAATTTTTTGCCAATAATAACCCTCATTAATGAAGATAGAGATGAATGTTTTAAAAAAAAGATGAAGAGAATATGAAAAGACATAATGTATTTATTAACTAAATGAGGGTAATATGGAAAAATACATATACAAAAGATCCAAAACGACATTTATTTTAATTAATAATTGATAAAGCCAAAATGACATTTAAAAAGAATAGGAGGTAGTATATTCTTACCATATATTACAATACATTTTGTAGTTTCTCACTCTTCAAAACACATGTGATGCTTAAATTAAGGGGAGGAAGTTCGTATATTTTGGAAACCGATATCTTGCACCTACCACTACAAAAAAAATTGATATATTCCAACAGAAAATTTTATGTAATATATTCTAATAGAAATTTCAACAGATATTTCAATGGTATACATTCCGTTGGAATGATTCCTACGGAAATTCTAATAAAAATATTCCGTTCGAATGCGTTTTTCATTAGAATTTTAGATGAAATTTGATGATTTCAACGGTTATATTTCCAACAGTTTTTACAATAGGAATTTTCGTTGGAATTTTTATTTTCCAACCCCGTTGGAAAATCTACCGTTGTAATTGTCAAATCCAACGGAAATTCCAATGAAAAACTCATTCCAACGGAAAATTTTTGTTGGAATTTCTGTTTGAATCCATTGAAAAATTCCAACGGAAATAATAACATTGAAAAATATCTATTAGAATTGCCGTTGAAATTCTATTTGAATATATTTCCTATAAAATTTCAGCATTTTCTTGTAGTGTACATAATTAATTCACTATGAATTAATGTATATGTGATTAAAACGCCATCAATCGTAAATTTGTAATTTTTTTTTTTACAAATCTAATAGAATTGAATGTAGTATCAATTGATCCAACATCTATATATATATATAATAAAAATTAACATTTACCAAAAATAGTAGCAAAAAAATAGTCAGAATTTAATGCAGCCTATAAACAGTAAGTTTTATTATTTTTTTTTATTTTTTCTTTAAAAATCATACAACATTAAATGTTACCTTAAATTTAGAGCTTTAATTCATTTTATTATTTAAAAAATCCGGCTAATATTTATTAAGTGTGTATGTTTTTATTTTCATTTTTTCTTAGAAACAACGAACAATATTAAAATCTCGGTCTCTATATTTATAAAATCTTAATTCAAAATATAAAAAAAGTTTTAGAATCTCGATCTTTATATTTGTGCCTTTTAAAAAAAAATGAACGCTAAAAATATTCTTTAAATTGCATAATCAATCAATTAATCTTAATTTTTTAAAAATTACTATGCTTATTTTTTATAATATGCATAAAGTAAAAATAATTAATTCATCTTTAGATATATAATTTATAATCTTAATATACTATCATTTGGTGTAGACATATATTATATGAATCATAATATATTTTTATTTCATAAAATTAAATATATTTAAAGAAAATAAGAAAATTTCTTCGGATCAATCGGGTGATTGAATTTGGGTACTGCCCAGGTTGATTGAATTACTTTTATGTGATATTTAAAATAGTCAAAAATCTTGACACAACTTGGTTGGTCCCAAGTGACTAAGTTATGTATCAGTTCGACCACACCAAATCAATTATTGAACCTAAATATAAATTTTATATTGAAAATATTTTATTATGTGAATGTGATGTAGTCGAAACTTCAAATAATCGTATTAACAATACTTTTATGACAACATGTTTAATGATTTATGAATATTTATATATCATTTTATTAATATTTATGTGAATTAAATAGTATTTTATTATAATATTTATTAATGTATAGTAAATATAAGGTTTTCAAACTATCAAGCTATATATAGTATCTTTTGTAATAAATTTAAATAAAATGTGTACTTAGATATCTAAACAATTTATAAATTCAAGTGTTTAAACAAATTGATAAATAATTTATAAATCTTTATTTTATTTAAATCTCTAGTTTTATTTAAAATAATTTTAAATATAACAAAATTTATTTAGAAAATCGTATCGATCCTACCAGTCCAACCGACTGGTGTTGACGGATTTGAGAGCAAATATTTTATTCAAGCAAACTAGACTGGTTATAAACCGGTTCTCAGTCCATCCGGTCGGACTGTGTCCAATACAGTTTAATTTAAAAACAATAGATAAATCATGATTAATGTTATTTTATATTTAATTTATTACAATCTTCATATTGCTTTTCCGTGCATCGCACGAACCACGCACTAGTTGTTATAAAAATACTAGATACTAGTTGGGCTATAAGCATATGGTAGACGAATGAAGTGGAAAATTTTAAATCAGATTGTTTAGATTTAAAAAAAATAAAAAAAGAAAGAAACACACAATATAGGTTTATTAATTATTAAAAAAAGAGAAACATATCTTAGATTGCGAGTACAAACACGACAAATTCAAGTAGCCCAACTTTTTATTTCACCGTACATTTTAGTTCCAATCATAACGTTTAGTCATAGAACTATTGTNGAAAATATTTCGAACGATAAGCATCGAAGGAGACTTGTTTCGAACCCCACCACAGATGACAAAAGAATAAGGTGTGACCAAATACGGCCTCGCAAAACGACCATTTAAATTCTTGAAAGCGTGTGGAAAGCGTGTGGTATCCCATATTGTCGTCTTTGGACTGACAATGCACGATCAACGGCTCAGTAGTATTTGGATCGAAATCGTTAACGACATGAACTCTAACTTTGTATGTGAAAATACAAGTGCGTGCTGAAGTTTGGAAGATATTGAGCATGATGACAAATAATAGGGGTACTATCATCTTGTCCATTGTGCCTGCGAAAATAGTTATTGAGACAACAATTTTATTTTATACTGTTTTACAAAAGTAATAGGTGAACTTTGAAACCAGATTTTGTGCTATCTTAGGAATTTGATTATGAGATACATTTTGGACAATTTTAATAATTATAGTAATCAAATCATGGATGACCACACAATATTTATTAGTATAATCATTGACCTAATATATATAAAGAATGTAACAATTACATAATTGAATTTGGATAAATTCAAGATAAAAATTACCATGTTGTTGATACCCAATTTGACTCCGATTAAATAAATTATAAATAGAATAAAAAACAACATCCCAATAACCAATGAGCCGAAAATACATGATTAATAAATATACAAACAGGTTCTCAAGACTGATCAGTCGAAAGCCGATTAGGTCTCCAGATGTCGAGCCCACCCGTTGCCGAGCTGAATAGAATTCAAAGTAATCGGATGACGCAGATATCGAGAAGAAGCCGCCTTCGGTAGACGCCACAATTGCCAAGAATTCAAACGTCAATTGAAACCGTCAAAAGTCATAAGCGGGCCTACGATAATTATCTCACATTAAAAAATAGTGTATTATCTTTTAGTTATTTAAATACCCACTTGTTAAAGTGGAGGGGGTATATATATGACTGTGAGAGGGGGAGAAGAGAGAAGGGGACTTTTCTCATCTTCTTCCTTTTTTCTCCCAATAACACAAAAAGAGAGAGGGGAAGACTCTCCAATAAAAATACAAGGAGCATCCATTTTAATCATTTGGTTCTTCAATTTCCTACAAAAAATTCGACTCATATTTGACGTGTTGACCGTCCGATTTTTTGACATCAACATATATTGCAATAGATAATCCAACGAGCACTAAAATATATCAATGAAAATTCTAACGTATATTTCAATGATTTTAAAAATTCAAAAGTATATACCATTAGTTTCCTAAACCCAAGTCATTTTTTATTATGATCCCATTACAAGAAACGTGCTTAGTAGGAACAACTCAATCTTGTTCCTAAAATCATTGAAGACGCGACTATTAATCTATTGTAATGAAATGCCATCGCAAAAAGCAAAAAAAGAAAAAAAAAATCGTGTCAATAGACATGTATCTATTAATTAATCTATTGGCACGGTGAAGTCGTTGTTATAAACCCAGAAGCTTATTCCTTGTCGAGGAACAACTTTTATTGTGCTTATTCCTTGTCTAGTGACACCATGTTTAATAATAAAAATCCACGACCATGTTGTGCCAATTGATAAAACTAATGGGAACATCAAGTTGTTTCAATTCATGAGTTGCTATAAACATTTAGAATCATTAGAATATGTTCCAAAAGTGCCTTTAAAGAAATAAAATTATTGCAACATTGTATACTATATTGACATTCAGTATTAGAATATTTACTTGTGAAGTTGTCTCACATTGTTTATATAGGAAAAATAGGCCTAACTTATAAGACTAATTGGCTGCTCCTCCTTCCACCAATTGATTTTAGGATGGAACCTCACTTTGGGCTTCATCTGGGATTTCCCAGCTTATATATGGTGTGATTTACGCGCATGGGACCACACCCGTTTTGCCCCTGTTTTTTACATGGTATCAGAATTTGTTCTATGTGGGACCATGCGATGACATACCCGTTTTTCAGCCTGTTTCTAGGCACCCGGCTCTGTATATCCCAGCCTGTTTTTAGTAGGACTTGGGCACCCAGCTCCGTATATGGGCTTGGGCTTCTTATGAATGACTCACAAGTAAGGAGGTATATTAGAATATTTACTTGTGAGTTGTCCCACATCGTTTATGTAGGAAAAATAAGTCTAATTTATAAGACTAATGGACTACTCCTCCTTCTACCAATTGGTTTAAGATGGAACCCCACTTGAACTCATCTGGACTTTCCCTACTTATGGTCCGTTTTGTCCCACTCGTGAGGGCATATATGGCTACAAAAACATCTTTTTTCCTCACAAGCAAACTTAAACTTTGTTTCATTTTGTTATTGGAAGTTTGTAATATCTCATAATATTGTTATAAATTTTCAATAAAATTGATTGGGTCTCAATTTAGCTTTATTAGTTATTAAAAAAAGTACAAACACGACAAATTCAAGTAGCCCAACTTTTTATTTCACCGTACATTTTAGTTCCAATCATAACGTTTAGTCATAGAACTATTGTCTTTGGGGTTATTAGAGCTGTAATACAAAATACCAGTTTGGTTAGCTATCCAAAAATGATAAGTTTTGGATATTTTAAATCTTTCTGCACGAAATGCATCGAATGACACTTGTTTCTGTCCCCACCACAGATGACAAAAGAATAAAGTGTGTGCAAATACACGCTCGCAAAACGACCAATTAAAATCTTGGTTAGGCAAAAGCGTGTGGTATCCAAGATCGTCGTCTTTCGATTGACACCGCACGATCAACGAGTCAGAATTTGGAGGAAGATTGCTAATGACATGAACTCTAATTTTATTTGTGAAAATACAAATGCGTGCTGAAGTTTGGACAGTATTGAGCACGATGACAAATAATAAGAGTATGATCTTGACCATTGTGCCTGTAGAAATAGTTGGTAGCGTATTCAGTACTGTGCTATAACTTCTTAAAGATATTTTTATTTTATACTACTATTTTTTAAAAGTGGAAGGTGAACTTTTGTAACGAGGTTGTGTGATTTTAAAAATTTGATTATATGATATATCATGACTAGTCATTATAAACATGGATCACTAAAACAAATAGATTAGCATAATCATTGACCTAATAGCTAATATAGATATAAAAGATGTAACAATTACAAGAAATATGTAATTGTAGTTGGATAAATTTAATTTGATAAGATTATGAATAATCCAATAATGGTTCAATAGTGATCTTACACGTGTGTTTATGGGGTATAACATAAACGAGAAAATATCCAAATTAACCATGGAATGTTTCACTATTGGTCCATTGGAATGATTTTTCAAAACTTGTCTCATATCTTTTAAAAATCAATCAAAAGTAGGACAATTATTGCCAGAACTTCAAAATCCAGATTGAAAAGACATGTCATGCTAACGTGTATTAATAATATAACAGCTAGTCCATTTAACTTCTGTTTGGCGGCTGGAATGGCAAAATATCAAACCAGTCCCATAACTATATAGATGTTTCAATATTGGTCCTATTGAAAGAAATTATTTTTTTCATTTTTCCGTAATTCAAATAAAAAAAATATTTCATTATTAGATTTTATAGAATCGGGGGAAGATGGTGCGGTCCCACACAAGCGCACTATAAAAGGGTGAACCTAGGTCCACCTTAGTGAGGTTCTATCTCAAATCAATTCGTGATGGGAGGAATATCCCATTATGCTTATAAACGAGGCTCATTTACCTTATAGAATCAATGTGAGACAAATAACAAGTGATATTCTAATACGCCCCTCACTTGAGAGTCATTCATAAGCCCAAACTCAGAACAGGTTGTTAAGTTGATTTTTAGCAAAAGATCTACCTCGGGTCGTTTTCTCGAAGGAAGGTGATTTGAAGCTTCGTCTACGAATTAGTTGTCAAAAACACAAAAAGGGACAATAAAATCTTAAACATTCTAAGCACGATTGAGGGTTGATTTGAGCTAAAACGGACTAGAAATTGAAAGCAATTAACTCAATCATGCAAGCTTGGAAGAAAGATTTTAACTTTGGTCCTCCGGTATTTCCTTGACTCGAGAAAAACGAAAATAGAACAAAGAGAAACATGTTAGCAATAAGATTATAGGCAATTTAATCGAGTCTTCTAAATGATCAATTTTTGAACAAAGTATTAACCAATAATACGTGATAAACACGAATTCAACTCCTAATTCACTTAAACAAGCAAGAAAAATAGAAAGATCCTAAAATCGAGCCTAGACACCTGATTCCGACTATACAAAAATGTATTGAATGAAAGTAAGTATGCATCACCATGATTATAGAATACATGCATTTTCCTTTTTATTTTTCTTTTCTCTATCATACTTTCATTTTTTTTTATTATATGTATATATATCGCAAATGCATATATAACCAT